TTTCCTTTCCTTTCCTTTCCTTTCCTTTCCTTTCCTTTCCTTTCCTTCAATCTAACCTTCCCTAACCTTCCCTTCCCTTCCCTTCCCCTTTCCCCTTTCCCCTTTTCTCTTTCCTCTCCTTCCCTTTCCCTTTCCTTTCATTAAAAGGCAGCTTTAAAATAAATCACCAAGAAGAATATTTCCCCCCCCTCCTCCGCAGGTTTTCCCTTTCCCTGTCCACCCCTGTGCAAAAGGCTCTTACTGAACCACTCTGTCCTTCAGCAGATTAGATATTCCTGGGGTTATTTTTTTTTTTTTTACCAGCTGAAAAAAATCTGGGGGTGGAGGAGGCCCATTATTAATGATTTTATGGCGGCGATCTGGTTCCTACATATTGCTAAACCACGGTTGGTTTAAACATGGCTTCTCATCTCAGGTTGCCCTACAAAGCCATCACTCCCCCAAGTTTGCTATTTGACATCATATGAAAAGTAGACAATTGACACTCTGGCTTCATTTAAAGAATGCATCCTGTCTGCGTCTGGTTTGCAGAAAGCAAATGTTTGCCAAAACGTCATAAAAAGAAATTGCATTTGTAAATTTCTGCTTTTAAAACTAGGGAGCAATCAGAGTTGGGGTTTTGCATCCGGATCTTAATGAAAAAGTCGTTTATTGGCAGTTGTGGAACATTGTTTTTTATTTGTTGAAAAGGGAAGGGCTTATCAATAAAAGAGCGAGATATCAAAATTCTTTTTTAAGAAAACCAAACCCATGGAATTACCATTTTTAAGAGGAAGCAAAATAAATAAATAAATGGGGAATTTGTCCCTGTTGTATGATTTGGTGGTTATTGAGATCTTCTCGTTGTGTGACATTTATCTGGTTCCAGAATCAAGACTCACAAGCTAATCATTAAACAGACTTAAGTATTTTATGGCCACAGCCGTTTAAGATATATTATCTCACCTTTCCCCAGTTAGTACAAAGTTATTATCTTTAAATAATGCCCATATCAGGCTTTATTTTCTCAGAGGATTTAAAATATAATTTTAATTTTAAAATATAATTTGTTTCTAAGCGGTGCTTGTGTTTGTGTCGATAGAAATCGTGGGGAATCCGATTTCAGCCTTTGTTGAATTAGGCAAAGGTATTATATATGGCATTGTTTCTGTTGAGCACTTAATTTCTTTAGAAAGTGATGCACCATCGAAAGTGATGTGAAAAATGGACGAAATCTTTTCCCATTTCTCTTTGGACTTTTCTTACCCTCTCCCTTCACGATTGTAAATTATTTAGAGTTTTTTCCAAGGATTTACTCCTAAAAAGCTAAAAAACCCTAAACCCTAAAAAAAGAAAAGAAAAGAAAAGAAAAAAGAAGAAAAGAAAAGAAACCAATGCAATGCAATGCAAAGCAGTGCACCCCTATCCTTTGTAAAGAATAAATATTGGAATTTTAAGTTGTTGGCAAGCAAGGGAAGAGCAGGACATGAAATAAGACTGCAGGTTTTGTCTTATGAAAAGAAGTGAAAAGAAGGACCAGGGGTGACATGATAGCAGACTTCCAATATTTGTGGGGCTGCCACAAAGAAGAGGGAGTCAAGATATTCTCCAAAGCACCTGAGGGCAGGACAAGAAGCAACAGGTGGAAACTCATCAAGGAGAGAAGCAATTTAGAACTAAGGAGAAATTTCCTGACAGAACAATTAATCTTTGGAATGGCTTCTCTCCAGAGGTTATGGGTGCTCCAACACTGGAGTCTTTTAAGAAGAGATTAGACAACCATTTGTCTGAAATGGTATATAGATGTCTCCTGCTTAAGCAGCGGGTTGGACTCAGACCTCCAAGATCCCTTCCAACTCTGTTACTCTATTATTATTAGTCTTATTTGCATTTATCCTAGCCACCCCAATTCAATCGTGTCTAATTCTCAACACTTCCTGGACAAGTCCCTGCAGCTTTCTTGGCAAGGCTTCTCAGAAGTAGTTTGCCATTGACTTTTTCCTAGGGCTCAGAGAAAATGACTGGCCCAAGGCCATCCAGATGGCTTCCTCTAAGGCAGGACTGGAACTCACAATCTCCCTTAACTATGACACCAGTCTCTCTTTCTCTATTTGTAATTGCTCACCCATAAATCCTTTATGGAATCTACCTTTCTGCACACCAGCAATTCTACCAATGCTTTTTAATTTTTTAATATGAAAGAGGAAAAAAATGGGAAAGGAAGCCCTTTCATGTCCAAACAGAACTCCCCTTATCAAATTATTCAATTAAAACATTAACAAATTAGAACAGGAACAGAACAGAACAACAGAATAGAATAGAATAGAATAGAATAGAATAGAATAGAATAGAATAGAATAGAATAGAGTAGAATTCTTGATTGGCCAAGTGTGATTGGACACACAAGGAATTTGTCTTCGGTGCATAAGCTCTCAGTGTACATAAAAATACATTCATCAATAATCATAAGATACAACACTTAGTGATAGTCATAGGATACTAAATAAGCAATCAAAATTATACTAGGAAACTAAATATAACAATATAAACTGTAAAGATACAAGCAAGAAGGTTATAGTCATAGGTAGAAGGAGATAGGTAATAGGAAGGATGAGAAGAATAATAGTAATACAGTCTTAATAAATAGTTTGACAATGTTGAGGGACTTAGTTGTTTAGCAGAGTGATGGCGTTCGGGGAAAAACTGTCCCTGTGTCTAGTTGTTCTGGTGTGCACTGCTCTATAGCGTCGATTTGAGGGTAGGAGTTGAAACAGTTTATGTCCAGGATGTGAGGGGTCTGTAAATATTTTCACAGCCCCCTTTTTGACTAGTGGAGTATACAGGTCCTCAGTGGAAGGCAGGTTGGTAGCCATTGTTTTTTCTGCAATTCTAATTATCCTCTGAAGTCTCTGTCTGTCTTGTTGGGTTGCAGAGCCAAATCAGACAGTTATGGAAGTGCAGATGACAGACTCAATAATTCCTCTGTAGAATTATAGTAAACTAGTAGTATGTACAGTTTATACTTTTTAACTAGTTCCTCCAGGTGCGATCCTGGAAAGGAGCTTGTTTAATTGTAGAACGAGAAGCAAATTCTTCATAACCGTTGATTCTTGAATTGGCAAGGAATTTCCAGGGCAGACTAGCTGATTTAATTTTGGTATGAGCTGCATTAAAGTTTCGTCTGAACCTTCCCTAAAAATTTTTTTTCCTTCTTTCTTTCTTTCTTTCTTTCAGGAAAACAGACCTGTTCCTGAACCTGGTCCTAATGGTAAGTTGGGATATTCACTTTTTGGAATATCAGCATTTTATTTTCAACTGGTACGGTCAACGGGCATGTTGAAGGAAGGTGATGAATAGCTTTGGACGGTGAAGGTCGTGTTCCAGGGCACAGTTGTTACTAAACCGGTCTCATTTATTTGCCAGATTTTATCTTCACCCTGGTTTATTTATTAGGCATCCTGCATTATAAATATTGTTCAGTGAAATGTAAAAATCTGAAGCATTTGAGGGCTTCCCCAAGCTTGGTTGGGATTTTTTTTGCAGATGTTTCATTACGCAAATTGGGTAACATTATCAGTGCTAGGAATGAAATGTCTGCAAGAAAATAATGTAGCTCAGAGAGCACCAAGGACCCTTCATTTCAACCCTGAGCTATAAATAGCCTCCTTTAGTGGTAGGAGTGTCTTGGGATTCTATACCATACAAAGCATATAGAAAAAGAGAAGGCCAAAGAACATGAGAGAGACTTAGAAGAAGACAAAGAGACAATATGAAAGAGATGCCTACGACAGCATCAAATAACGATGGTTGAGGCCACCAGAAATGCTAAGAACAGAACTTTGTATTTCCCTCAACACTCAAGTGGTAAAAGAGGAGGAGGAGGAGGAGGAGGAGATAAATAATAAGTTTATTGTCATTGTATGTATATACACAGTATACCCACATAACACCCAGAGACCAACCCCAACACATATGACAATCCCCAAACACCCCCCCACCCACCACAAATTCCCCACCCCTAAACCACCCAAACATCCACACAACAGACCAAGTAATGCTGTCCAACAGCTCACTGATGGTGGCTCTTTAGTTCATTGTTGAGTGCAATTATAGCTCTGGGATAAAAACTATTCAGAAAACGCATGGTCCAAGTTTTAATTGTTCTGTATCTTCTGCCAGCAGGCAACAGTCCAAAAAGATTGTAAGTAGGATGGGAAGAGTCTCTGAGAACGTTATGCAACTTCTTCAAACAGTGAGATTCGAAGATGTCATCCAGGGCTGGTAGCTGGAGCCCAATGATATTCTAGGCAATTTTAATGATTCTCTGTAGAGCTTTTTTGTCCGCTGCAGAGCTGCTCCCATACCATGCAAGAATGCCGTATGTCAGGACACTCTCAATGGTGCTGCGATAATAGGACAGAAGTAGATGCTGAGATAGATTTATCTTCCTGAGCATTCTCAGGAAGTACAGCCTCTTCTGTGCCTTCTTCACAAACATCTCAGCATTCATAATCCAAGAGAGGTCCTCCGAGATATAAATACCCAGAAATTTAAAACTACCAACCCTCTCCACCTCCTCACTATTTATGTACAATGGTAAATGTACATCTCTCTTCCTCCTGAAGTCAATTATAAGTTCTTTAGTTTTTTTGGTGTGAAGAAGAAGGAGAAGGAGAAGGAGGAGGAAAAGGAGAAGAAGGAGGAGGAGGAGGAGGAGGGAATCCTTGGTGTTCTCTAAGCTTCGTTGTTTTCTTACAGATGTTTCATTACTCAACTTAGTGCTAGAAGGGAGTGGGATGTGCAGGGAGGAGGAGGAGGAGGAGGAGGAGAAGAAGAAGAAGAAAGAAGAAGAAGGAGGAGGAGGAAAAGGAGGAGGAGGAGGAGAATGTAGCCTTTCTTTAACAACAAAATATTGCAACTCCTCCCCCTTTTTCTAATCCAGTCCGTTAGGGAGATGTTTGTCTGAGCTGCTTCCAGATGTTACCTGGATGTCCTGAATTTTAAAAAAACGCCCCAGTCCCTTTTGCCTCCAGTCCCTTTTGCCAGCACCTCGATATGTCCATCAGGGTCATCTTATGTCTTCAACTCTACATATTTGTTTCTTTTTATCATTGTGATAAAATTGCCCCAGCTCTGGATGCCAAAGAACTGGATGAAAGGTTCAGCTAGGAAACCACTTGCCTGGAGGAGTCTTAGCAGCTTACATCGGTGTGAACCGACAAAGCATGGCCTGAAGTGATTAGTCTTGGTGCAGGTATTGCAAAACCATGTGACTCTTGTACACGATGGGCTTTCCAATTTCCTTGATTATGTCTCTATGCCCACTCAGTGTCCGGTAAATTGGAGTTGCCCCAGGGTCATCAGTTCTGCAAGAAATAGGACACAGGTGGATTTTAGGGCATGCTTTTATAGGCAACGTGAGCCAAAAAAAATATCTTCTAAACCATGTATTTGCTTGTGTCTGATAATTCTATCTCTGCAATGTTCTGTCAATGTCCTGCAAGACTTAAGGACGAGAACAGTCAACAGTTTCTCCATATTTATTTATTTTTTAAAAAATAGTTTTTTATTTTATTTTATTTTTTTTACAAACATATCAGTGTGTAAACAGTGTGACGCCTGGGTGTCATACATTCTAATACAAATAAAGCTAATAGCATTAGTCATAGTTGTTGCTTTCAATCCAACTAATATATTTCTAATAGCGATATGAAGTTGCATTCTATCCTTATTCAATTATTCCATGTTTTCTCTTATTATTACTACTCTTGTTATATTCTAATGCAAATAAAGCTAATAGCATTAGTCATAGTTATTACTTTCAATCCAACATATATTTCTAATAGCGATACATGTTTATAAGAAGTTGCAATCTTTCATTATTCAACTATTTCACATTTTCTCTTATTATTACTCTTATTATATTCTAATACAAATAAGACTAATAGCATTAGTCATAGTTATTGCTTTCAATCCAATTTATATATTTCTAATAGCGATACATATTTATGTGAAGTTGCAATCTTTCATTATTCAATTATTCCACGTTTTCTCTTATTACTCTTATATTCTAATACAAATAAAGCTAATAGCATTAGTCATAGTTGTTACTTTCAATCCAACATATATTTGTAATAGCGATACATATTTATATGAAGTTGCAATCTTTCATTATTCAATTATTCTATGTTTTCTCTTATTATTACTCTTAATATATAAAAATGTCAACAGGTTCTTAATTTATTAAGATATATTCTGATAGCTTTGTAAATATGTCACCCTTTTGCTATTTTCTTGGAACTGGATCGGATCCGGGCTCATTCTTTCAATAGACTCTTGAGATTTAAGGAAAAGAAGGATTAGGGGGAACACGATAGCAGTGTTCCGATATCTCAGGGGTTGCCCCAAAGAAGAGGGAGTCAAACTATTCTCCAAAGCACCTGAGGGCAGAACAAGAAGCAATGGGTGGAAACTAATCAAGGAGAGAAGCAACTTAGAACTAAGGAGAATTTTCCTGACAGTTAGAACAAATTAATCAGTGGAACAACTTGCCTCCAGTTCACTACCACAATCTGGAAATGAATGCAAGTTGAGTTTTCTTGGTCTCACACTCTTGTGTTTTTGATATAGGTAGTCCTTAATTTGCAATTGTTTGCAACAGAACAACTGTGCAAAGTTACACTTGACTCTCCTTGGGTCAAATTTATGACCTGGATTTGAAGTTCCGACGGTTGGATCCCCTGGTCATGTGACTGAACTTCAGGTGCTTGGTAGCACAACTGAATTAACGGCTTTTTTGTAGTGTGTCTCGTGGCCATGTAACCGGATTGTACAATGGTTTTTATGAAAACTGGACCTTCTGGTTTTGGGCAAAACTGCACACAGCAAACCACTGGTTTCTTAATGCTCTTTAAAAAAAATCAAGTTGATCATGTGATTGACCAATTTTGCAACCTCACGACTTGCAGGCTCCACTGCAGTCATAAATCGAGGACTACCTGCATTGTTATTTGGGCTTTTAGCTCTTCAGTTTTTAATCTCATTTACATAAATAGGGCATGTCAATCATAGCGATGCATGGATCCATATTTACTTAAAGGGATTTAGATGAACCAATCAGTCACATTTCTGTTGCTTCTAAAATCTGCACCTCTTTAGAGCGTATGTAACGTTGATTTCTCCCTCTGATTCCTCTCTTTCGTAACAGAAGTGCTTTTGAAAATGCACTCCGTGGGAATCTGTGGGTCTGACGTCCACTACTGGCAACATGGGCGAATTGGAAATTTTGTGGTGAAATCTCCAATGGTGCTGGGCCACGAAGCTTCAGGAACCGTTGTTAAAGTAGGGTCTTCAGTAACCGAGTTAAAGAAAGGTGAGCTGAAGCTGTTCCCAAGTCACCTCCATCTTTCCTCTTAGTAGCTGATGAGTAAGGATTGAACAGCATGTACAATCACCTGGAGGTAGGGACTTCCAGCTCCATCTCAATTGCTATGGATTTGGGACAAATATAATCGAATTGTTGGCTTTAGGACCAAAATCAGCTGGAAAAAATAGTGGAATAAAAAAAAACAATAGTTTTATTTCGGGCAGATTTATTTATTTATTTTCTGCGATGGCTGTGCCAGATTCTTTCTTGTCCCTTTCTCTACAATCCCTCCCTCTGTCCCTGAACTTCTAAACCACTCCACAAAGTATTATTTGGCCTTTGACTTAAAAAAAAAGTTGGGCAACCACGATTTGTAGAAATGTTTATATACTGCTTTTAGATCCAGCCTCTCTTTCATTAATGCAGTAGAGCCATCTGTCTTCTATCTGTCTCCTAATGTCCTTTGTGTAAAATGTGACAGATCCTCACAGAGCAGAGATTTTCAAAGATCTGCCTTATTGGGTTGGAACTGAGGGGAACTTAATGCTAGAACGACATGATTTTGTGGGGCCTAGCAAATCCAGAAGTTTCTAAATTATATCTCGTCCTCTTCTGAGTAGGTAAATTCTTGTCATTTGATTCTTACCTCAGCTTGAATGTCTGTAATATGACTGGACTGCTCTAATGATTACAAGAAAAGCTCTAGGGCTTTTAGGTTTCATCAGCTTTCAGGTGATAAATATTTAATATTAATATTTAATAATAAGTATTTCAGAGTATCTCTTTAGAGTTAAATAATGCGAATGGGTCTCCTAGATACGCAAATCTCTTTAGTGGGTATTTTTTCCCCCCTGCTTTCTCTCCTTCTTACATCCTTGTGGTCTCACAGGTGATCGGGTAGCTATTGAGCCTGGCGTTCCTCGAGAAATCGACGAATTCTGCAAGATTGGACGTTACAACCTCTCTCCGACCCTTTTCTTCTGTGCAACCCCTCCTGACGATGGGAACTTGTGCCGATATTACAAACACAATGCCAACTTTTGCTACAAGTGAGTTTTGGGAGAAACCATATCATGAAGCTAACCAATCCAGAACAATAATGTAGGGTTTTTCCTGGGTTTAATTGACTTTGAGCAGTGTAAGGTAAAGGTAAAGGTTCCCCTCGCACATATGTGCTAGTCGTTCCTGACTCTAGGGGGCAGTGCTCATCTCCGTTTCAAAGCCAAAGAGCCAGCGCTGACCGAAGATGTCTCTGTGGTCATGCGACCGGCATGACTAAATGCCAAAGGCACACGGAACGCTGTTCCCTTCCCACCAAAGGTGGTCTCTATTTTTCTACTTGCATTTTTTACCTGCTTTCGAACTGCTAGGTTGGCAGAAGCTGAGACAAGTAACGGGAGCTCACCCCATTACGCGGCGCTAGGGATTTGAACCGCTGAACTGCCGACCTTTCGATCGACAAGCTCAGCGTCTTAGCCACTGAGCCACCGCGTCCCCCTTGAGCAGTGTGAAGTTCTCTAAATGTCCAACTTGGGGTTACGAACAGGCAGACTCTCAACCATATAATTGAAATTGAAACCCTAAATCACCCTAAATCACAACACACAGCCATAGATAAATTGGGAATCTTTAGCATTCAAAACCAAAGAAATAGCCCATGAATCTGAGATCTTTACAAGCAAAGCAAATGTTCTTTTTAAATCACAGCCCTTCCTTTCCCTAATGGATAGACATAGCACTATTCCAATTTTCTGCTCAAATCATTGGTCCCCCCCCCCCCTGGATCATTTCAGTGGTCTGGAAAGAAAGAAAAAAAAAACCAAATTTAATCATAAGATAGTAAGAGTTTTTATGCATATTTCTAAAGTGTTCAAAACCAGCAGGCTGTAAAATTTAGGGATTAACTAACACGAGAAGTAAAATACTTACTTAGTTCTGCAGGTGATGGAGAACTTAAAAATGATCACAAATATTTATTTATTGAAAATTGTTTATTGAAATTTATTGTTTATATGGCTGCTACATCCCACAGCAATGTCCCTGGGAAGTGCACAACGATTAAAGCGAACAATTAAAAAACAACACTCGTTCATTAAGGCGTGTTTTGAGTTCACGGAAATAATTCTGACCGCAACCAATCAACCCGTAGAGCTAACTCAGTCTTCTGCTCTGATGCTTGGGATAATAGGTATGGGTAACTTTCAGATATAACTGAGAGATTAGTCATGAAGAAGCAAAGAAACTCCTATAAAGGAGAATATTTGTAGCTCAGTCTTGAAATGAAGGGTTCATAGTGCTCTCTGAGCTTGCCTGTTTCATTACCCTAACTACCGTATTTTTCAGAGTATAAGATGCACCTTTTTCCCCCTAAAAGGGGGTGAAAATTTAAGTACGTTTTATATACCGAATGTAGTCCTGTCCACCCACTGTCCCCCACCCTTTGGCCTCTGTCCCCCAGCAGTTTACCTCCTTGCAGCAAGCAGCAAGAAGAAACAGCTCCTTTCAGCTTTAACACAGCCTAATTAACACAAGTTGATTGGATCGGCCTCCCGACTCTCAGCTGTTTTGTTCTCAGCTGTTTTGCGCCGGTCTCTGCTGCTTACTGCAAGGAAGTAAATTGCTGGGAGCAGATTTTTTTTCCTTGTGCTAATCAAACTATACTGAAAACGAAAATGAAAGTAAAGCAGGCTGTTTGCTGCAAAGAAGCAAAATTGCTGGCGGCAGAGGCAGATTTCTTTTTCTTCTTTTCCTCACCAAAAAAGATAGGTGCTTCTTATAGTCCGGTGCATCTTATACTCTGAAAAATACGGTAGGTTAACATCATCAGACTGATGATGTTACCTAGTTGGGTAAAAAAACGCCTGCAAGAAAACAAACAAGCTCAGGGAGCACCAAAGAAACTCCTTCTCAAAAACACATTTTTATAATTCTGCGAGAGGCAGCAAGAGAATATTATTAAATATCCCCTTTCCACCGTTAACCCTTTTCCTCTGCGGTTCTTAATAATTCTTTGAAAGTTGTAATAATTTTTGAATATTTTTTGAACTTGGAATGATTTTTGAATTCTTTGCATATTTTAATCATTCATGGATTTTTTTTTTCCTCCCTCCAATATTGTCTAGAGCAGTGATGGCTAATCTTTTTGCTATCGTGTGCCAAAAGTGGGAGGAGCGCAGGGGGTCATGCACCCATAATTCAGTGCACCCCATCCCCCTGAACTCCCCCCATGTTTGACACATAATGGCCTGGTGGGCCCGGTAGGCCTGCTTTTCACCCTCCCCGGGCTCCAGAGCCTTTCTAGGCGCCTGGGGAGGGTGAAAACAGCCTTCCCCAAACCCCTGGAAACCCTCTGGATGCCAGAAACAGCCTGTTTCCCAACTTCCGATGGGTCTGGAAAGCCTGAAAATCAGTTGGCCAGTGGCGCCGGACCTGAGCTAGGGCAATGCTTGTGTGCCCACTGATATGGCTCCGCGTGCCACCCGTGGCACGTGTACCATAGGTTCACCATCACGGGTGTAGAGTTTTATTTTCTGGGCTCCAAAGTCCTGTGGCAAGTAAAGGGGACTTTCCCCATCTGTAAGTTAAGAGATTGGGAGTTGCCAGCAAGACAAAAAGATTGGGTACCTGTTTTCTTGTTATGTTTTCCAAGGAACAGTTTTCAGACGCTGGAGTCTGCACTAAAGATTAAGACTCCTCTTAAAATAGCAGAACTCTTGTGCATGCCAACAGCAACGCCCTCAGGCAGTTGGGACTGGTTGATCTAAAAGCACGATAATGCCAGCAAGATTAACTGCAGCTTTGAAATAAAGGAAGTAACAGTCTTACTCCACACCGTTTATTGGCAGAACCTCTTGTGGTGGAGAGTTTTGAAGAAGTAATTGTATATGTCAGTTTCAGAAGGCTTAAACGATTGGCCTGAAATTCATCCTTTTTCAGAGGAGGTTAAAAAAACCTTTAATTACTGCTAATCAGTTACAGGATGAAGGACCGTCACTCAATGGCCTTTGACATGCTTACCTAGAAAAAAAAATTACATTACATTACATTATATTAGAATATTAGAATAACAGACTTGGAAGGGACTTCGGACGTCTTCTAGTCCAAGGCAGGACACCCTATTCCACTTCAGACAAATGGTTATCCAACGTCTTCTTAAAAACTTCCAGTGTTGGAGCATTCACAACTTTTGGAGGCAAGTTGTTCCACTGATTAATTGATCTCTCTCTCTATAATGTTCTATAGATACATTATTATGAATTATCCTAAAAATGCGAGTTCCAGGTATAGTTATAGAAGAGGCGATAGACATCACGATCTCCGGAACGAAAGCTTAGCACAAGTTTTAAAATAAAAAATTTTAAACTTTTAAACGTTCCGGAGATCGTGATGTCTATCGCCTCTTCTATACATTATTATATATTCGCCTCTTCTATACATTATTATATATTCGTTTTCTTTTCTTTTCGTAGGCCTTTATGTGTATTTCTCTTTAGCCAGGTTCTTCCTATGTAAACCAAGATTTTTATGTAGCCCTAATTCAGTGAAATCACAATCCACTAGTTTCTAGTCTTTTTTTTTTCTGGCAGCCAGCAAGCACTGGGCAGCAGAGTTTCACCCCTGCTTTAGCATCTTGGGTTTGTGCTTAATTTATGTTAAGCCATTGTTCTTAGGTTTTTAATGTTTATGCTTTGGAGATTTGGAGATTGGTTAATCCTGACGGGGGGGAAGGTTTTGGGGATGCTTTCTATGTGTGATTTTCGCGCCTATTGCCTCAGACCTTACTTTCCTTTGGTTGCATTCAGATGACACTCTGACACTTTGGTTTCTGCTTTACAGACACTAATGGAAGTTCTTTGGTCTGTTTGGTCTCCTTGCAGACTTCCAGACAACGTCACCTTTGAGGAAGGCGCTCTTGTAGAACCTCTTTCAGTTGCAATTCATGCCTGTAGAAGAGCCGAGGTGACCCTGGGTAGCAAAATCTTCATTTGTGGTGCTGGTATGGAAGACTTCGGCTTTTCTTTGATTTTTCTAAAACTGATGTATTTATATTAGTCCCAATGGATCCTTCTTCCCAGACACCAAAATAGCTTCCATCATCTTCATATCTGAATTGGAGGCCACTTCAGATGTGGCATCCACATTTTTCTTCCCAAAAGGTTCACCTGTGATTCTGTCATTGCTTTTTTAAAACAAAGCAAAAACCATGTTTATTGTGGCGCTTTTATTGTTTCCCACCGGTGCTCTTTTTATAATGTAGTTTTATCCAGGAGTGAAATGCTACCGTTTGGGCGAACCGGTAGTAATAAAAGCTACCGGTTCGGGCGAACCGGTAGAAAAAATAAGCTACCGAACCCTGTATTTCCGAAGATCAGCTGTGTTGTGCGATTTATATTCGATTTATATTTATATTTCCTGCTTTCTAGTGAATTTAAATCATGCGGCACAGCTGTTCCCCCCCCCCCCTTGCTGTTCTACTTACCTTCAAAAGGCTCCTTTTCCCATGCGGAGAGGGCATTTGGTGTGCACTGCGCACATGTTCGTGCAGCATGTTTTTGGTGTGCACTGTGCATGCGCTCACACACGGTGTGCATTTGGTGCGCACCATACATCCACGGGGAGCTAAGTGGTGGTAACCCGCGGAGGATTTCACCACTGGCTTTATCGTTTAAAAAAGAAAGACGTTCCTTAGAAGAATCCATTGGCCATCAAACTCTGTGCAATAAATAACCAGACTTCGTTTTGATGTTCCCCATCTCTCTGTCTTCTTAGGACCCATTGGGCTCGTGAATTTGATTATTGCTAAGGCGATGGGAGCTGCGCAAGTGGTGATTAGCGGTAAGATCAATTTACAAACTGAATGTCTAATTTTTTGTGTCTGTGTTTGCAGTTCAGCTTTCCAAGTTTACATGAGATAAAGGACTAGTGTTGCCTGGGTAAATACAGAGCTGTTAAATTTATTTATTTTATTTATTGGTTCGATTTATATGCCGCCCTTCTCCGGAGACTCAGGGCAATGTGAGCAATAGCCTTCATACTTTTGTATATACCTACTTAGTAGGGCTTTCGGCCCCCCCTAAGTGGTGTTCTTTTTTATACAAAGTCAGCTTATTGCCCCCACAATCCGGGTCCTCATTTTACCTACCTTGGAAGGATGGAAGGCTGAGTCAACCTTGAGCCTGGTGAGATTTGAACTCGCAGTAATTGCGGGCAGCTGGCAATGGGACAAAGGAAGAAATATTATTCAAGGCATGAGGCAAATCTAGCAAGCTCCAAGTTTTTTCTTCTTCTAAACCTTAATGGTGTCTTTTGCATCGATCATGAAGAACGACTGTTCAATATAAGTCTAGTATGACTCTCTGTGAGTCCACAGACACATCTGTAGAGTCGTCTTGTCATCTTCTGGGATGTGTTTTTGGTTTCCCAATCAAAATCGCCACTCGGAGATTTCTTGATGGACTTCTCAAACAAATATAAACCAGGCTGATCTTGCTCTAGGTTTAGAGATCATCAGAAATTGGCTCGGTCCCACTATATAGTTGGGCACTTTGAATATTGTTCCCTTGGAGGCAGTGATGAAATGCAAAATTTTTTGCTACTGGTTCTGTAGGAACCAGTATGGTGGGCGTGGCTTGGTGGTGGTTGGTCATGTGACTGGATGGGCGTGACCAACATTTTTTTTTTTTTACTTTTTAAAGCATTTTTTACTACCTATTCGCCTGAACCGGTAGTAGTAAAATGCTTTTAAAAAGTAAAAAAAAAATGTTCCGAAGATCGCGGTGCGCAGCTGATTGACAATCAGCAGTACCGAGCGATCGTCAGAACCTTTTTTAAAACTTTTTTTAAAGCATTTTTTAAACTACCTATTTGCCCGAACCGGTAGTAAAAAAATGCTTTAAAAAAGTAAAAAAAAAAAGTTTCCAATGATCGCGCGGCACAATTGTGATCGTCAGAACCTTCTTTTAAAACCTTTTTTAAAGCATTTTTTAAACTACTTATTTGCCCGAACTGGTAATTTTTATCACTACCAGTTTGCCCAAACTGGAGTGAACTGGTAGCATTTCACCCCTGATAGAAGGCACTTCATGGATTCTCCATCATATACCCACTTCCAGGTGACTGTGGGAAAACAAAATGATGCTACTGTACAAGATACAGCAATGTCTCCAATCTTAGCAAGTTTAGGATGGGTGGACTTCAACGCTCAGAATTCCCCAGCCAACATGGGGAGTTACTTTATTTTGCTTTTCCTGAATTCTGCTAGCCTTCCGAGATCTTCTCCCACCTTCTCAGCATTTCTTGGCCTTCTGAATGTTTTCATGGCAGAGCCGAGAGTTTTAACTACCTTGGGAAAGTGTTTTTGGGTAAACGCTTTAAAGATGATCCCTAAAATTCTGTTACAATACATAACCAACTTATCCTAGCTTATGGACTTCTGCAGAATTGAAGTGTGTTTAAGATATGGGACTTGCTTTTAATTCTATCTAAATGTAAATGAAACCGAATTTGACCTTTGTTTTACTTCTGCTTGATTCTGGAGCCTGGCCTTCCCTTGTCAATCAACATTTGCTTTGAAAATGTTGCGTAGCCCTGGATAAAAATCTATTTGTCGATGGCTTTGTTCGCTACTCACGTTAGGGGTTGTAGGAAAGTGAGTGTAAATAGAATAGCTTGGAATGCAAGAAAGAGAGTTGCTCTCTGACATCGGTCAAATGTATCCAAGGTAGGAACAATTAATCAGCAGGAAAGAATGCATTCTTTCAAACCGTGAACTTTTTTGAGAATTTGCAGCACCTTAAAGACTAACAGAGGAACTGCTGCTAAAAGTCACGCTAAATGAACTCTGAGATACAAGGGTCCTTCAAAAGTCTTCTCCTTAAGTCATAACGTTGCTTATGCAGATCAAGTTCTGTTGGCTTAAGGCAGTGTTTCTCACCTTGGAAGCTTGAAGATGGGTGGACTTCAACTCCCAGAATCCCCCAGCCAGCAGCGCTGGCTGGGGGATTCTGGGAGTTGAAGTCCACCCATCTTCAAGCTTCCAAGGTTGAGAAACACTGCCTTAAGGGCTTCATGAGCCACCCAGGGGTAGGTTCTACTTACCCAGAGAGCCTCCTCACCAGCTCCGCGGGCTGCTGGTAGACCACAACTGCCAACAGTTTCCAGGGATCCTGGAGAGACTCTAAAAGCCAAATGTTCTTAAATCTGGAGTGGACAACCTTCTATTGACCAGACTTCCTTCTATGCTTACTAGCAAGGAATGTTGGAAGCTGTTGTCCACAATGTCACGTCAAGCTTAGTTTCTTATCCTGTCCTAGAAGCACTTCAGAGAAGGAAAGCATGGCTGGTAGTGGGCCATCCTCAAAACTCTCGATTTGGTCATACCGAGAGGCGCCACTCCTCTCAGATAATAATTAAATTAACCTCTTGGGATCCTATTTATTTATTTATTTATTATTAAATTTCTATACCGCCCTTCTCCCTGAGGACTCAGGGCGGTGTACAGCCAAAATTAAAATACATGCAGTACAAATATTAAAAAAAAACAATTAAAAGATATATAAATTTGGCCCAATTAAAACTCACTACCAATTAAAACATTTAAAAATTTCTTCTTAAGCCAGCCTGGCTTGCTTGAAAAAATGGGTTTTAAGGGCACGACGGAAGGCACTGAAGTCTTGGATTCTCCTTATCTCTGGGGGCAGCTGATTCCAGAGGGTAGGTGCCCCCACAGAGAAGGCCCTCCCCCTGGGGGTCACCAGCCTGCACTGTTTGGCTGATGGCACCCCGAGGAGGCCCTCTCTGTGGGAGCGCACGGGTCGATGGGAGGTCGTCGGTAGCAGCAGGCGGTCTCGAAGATAGCTAGGCCCTATGCCATGGAGCGCTTTAAAGGTGCTTTCATTTTTTTTTATGATGGCTATGATTTTTTTTTTTGCTTTCTTTGCCTATAGATTTGTCTGCTCCCCGACTGGAAAAAGCTAAAGAAATCGGGGCTGATTTCACCATCCAGGTTAAAGGGCAGAGCCCTGAGGTGCTGGCCAATATGGTGGAAAGCTTGTTGGGTTGTATGCCTGACATCACCTTGGAATGCACTGGGGCCGAATCCTGCATCCAGACTGGAATCTACGTGAGTGTTTCATAGCTTAAAGGCATCAAGAATAATTTTTATCATGTACGAGATAACAGGTGTAAGTATAAACATGGACATGAACATAGGAAATGAGTACAAATAAATGGGGACAGTAGGACAGGGACGGTAGGCACGCTGGTGCACTTATGCACCAGAGGTGGGTTTCAGCAGGTTCTGACCAGTTCTGGAGAACCGGTAGCGGAAATTTTGAGTAGTTCGGAGAACCAATAAATACCACCTTTGAATGGCCGCGCCCCCATCTATTCTCTGCCTCCTGAGTCCCAGCTGATCGGGAGGAAATGGGGATTTTGCAGTATCCTTCCCCTGGATTGGGTGCGGGGGGGGGGAATGGAGATTTTACAGTACCCTTCCCCTGGAGTAGGGTGGGAATGGAGCTTTTACAGTAGCCTTCCCCTGCCACGCTCACCACGCCATGCCCACCAAGCCACACCCACAGAACTGGTAGTAAAAAAATTTGAAACCCATCACTGTTATGCACGCCCCTTTTACAGACCTCTTAGGAATGGGGTGAGGTCCACGGTAGACAGTTTAAGGTTGAAGCTTTGGGGGTTTGAGGATGTAACAATGGACAATGCTCTAACGGGTAGAGCATTCCAGGCGTTGACCACTCTGTTGCTGAAGTCGTATTTTCTGCAATCGAGTTTGGAGCGGTTTACCTTGAGTTTGTATTTATTGTTTGCTCGTGTATTATTGAGGTTGAAGCTGAAATAGTCATTGACAGGTAGGACGTTGTAGCAGATAATTTTGTGTACTGTGCTTAGGTCAGACCGTAGGCAGCATAGTTCCAGGTTGTCCAGGCCCAAAATTTCGAGCCTGGTGGCATAAGGTATTCTGTTGCGAGCAGAGGAGTGGAGGAGTCCTCTCATGAAATACCTCTGGACTCGCTCGATTATATTAATGTCCGATATACAGTGCAGATTCCAGACAGACGAGCTGTATTCAAGAATTGGTCTGGCAAAGGTTTTGTATACCCTAGTTAGCAGTACAATGTTACCGGAGAAGAAGCTTCGCAAAATTAGGTTAACAACTCTTAATGCCTTTTTGGCAATTGATATTTTTGGCAATTGATAATTGAGAGACTTGATAGTTGGACTAGAAAACCTCCAAGGTCCCTTCAAACTCTTGTTATTCTATTCTATTCTGTTATTCTGTTATGACAGAGGGAAAGATAGTCCTGGCATGTTGGCTTCTGGAGAAGTTGGAAATGAACTTGGATCTTCTTATTTCTTCTCAGGCAACCCGTTCTGGCGGGACTCTAATTTTGGTAGGTCTGGGCCCAGAAATGGTCAACTTGCCCATCGTGAACGCAGCGGTGCGTGAGGTGGACATCCGTGGGATATTTAGATACTGCAACACGTAAGTATTAATCATGGGTCTAGGGGGATTCTGGGAGTTGAAGTCCACCCATCTTCAAGCTACCAAGGTTGAGAAACACTGATCTAGAGGAACAAATAGAGATTTATTTTCCTCATACCTGGCCTGGGGGATGGGATGGGATGATGTTTTATTGATCTTGGACACTGAATCGAGGACTGTGAACTGTTCTAAGACTTTTGTCAACTGTATTTTTTAAAAATTAAAATCGAACAAAACATCAATCTTAGAAAGTTCTTGAAATCTGATCAGTTCGTCACTGTGCCGCACAAGGAAGACAAATAGGCTTTCATTGTGTAGCAGCTATTTTGTTTTGTCGTCAAAAAATGATGTGGCTGAAGAAATTCTGTACCTAAATTATAATCGCTTTTATCAAGAGGGTGTGGACGAGTTTGAAACGGATAGAAAATATTGTACAATATAGATAATTTAGGTACAGAATGTTTGGTGCTTCATCTAAAACACAATTGCGCAAACGTCTGATACCTTGAACATAATTAAAAAGAGAGGGGAAAAAAATCTTAAACGTGATTTAAATACAAATTTAATTCATTTAATTGATGTAATTTAAATACATTCAAATACATCATACTGGGTTTCCAGTTGTGACACTCTGAAATTTCCTGATTGTTTTTGTTTTAACAGAACGCAATTGCGCGTAATCCTCGAATTATGACCGCAATTGAGCCCCAAATTTCTGTTGTTAAGAGAGACAGTGAGTTGTTCAGTGAGTTTTGCCCCATTTTACAACCTTTGTTGCCCGAGTTGTTAAGTGAATCACTGCAGTGTTTAAGATAGCAACCCAGCTGTTAAGTGAAAATTCGTTTGATTTTGACTTTGCTTGTCAAAAGTTTGTAAAAAGAGATCACACCGTCACCAGACACTACAACCAATATGAGTCAGTTGCCAAGCATCTGAATGTTGATCTCATGATCGTGGGGATATGGCAGTGGTCGTAAGTGTGAAAAACGGTCATACCTCACTTTTTTCGGCTCCATTGTAACTCTGAACAGTTAGTAAATGAACTGTTGTACTTATATATTTGTATTTAGAAGGTGAAATCATCTTTGCTCTTTGATGGGTCTTGGAAATCTCTTTCTAAAAGTAATCCTCTGATCTGGTTAAATGAGGGAAACAGTGGTTAGAACTCCTAAAATTACAAGAGAAAGATTAATTTTATTATTAGAGTTGATTACTGTAACTTGAGACGCAGTGGCTCAGTGGATAAGACGCTGAGCTTGTCAATCGAAAGGTCGGCAGTTCAGTGGTTCGAATCCCTGGGGCCGCGTAACAGGGTGAGCTCCCATTACTTGTCCCAGCTTCTGCCAACCTAGCAGTTCGAAAGCACGTCAAAAATGCAAGTAGAAAAATAGGGACCACCTTTGGTGGGAAGGTAACAGGGTTCCGTGCACCTTTGGCGCAGGGGTGAAATCCAGCAGGTTCTGACAGGTTCTAGAGAACCGGTAGGATAAATTTTGAGCAGTTCGGAGAACCAGTAGCGGAAATTTTGAGTAGTTCGGAGAACCTACAAATACCACCTCTGGCTAGCTCCAGAGTGGGGTGGGAATGGAGATTTTGCAATATCCTTACCCCAGGAGTGGGGAAGGAATGGAGATTTTGCAGTATCCTTCCCCTGCCATGCCCACCAAGCCACGCCCACGCCCACCAAGCCACGCCTACAGAACCGGTAGTAAAAAAAATTGGATTTCACCACTGCTTTGATGTTGAGTCATGCCAGCCATGTGACCACGGAGATGTCTTCGCACAGCGCTGGCTCTTCAGCTTTGAAACGGAGATGAGCACCGCCCCCTAGAGTCAGGAACAACTAGCACATATGTGCGAGGGGAAACTTTTACCTTTTACTGCAACTTATTAATTTTGATTAGTATTAACAATTAATATGCATCAATATTCTGGGGGAAAAGCACTGTCATTATGAGATTACTATTAGAGAATACTATTATTATTACTACCATGATGAATATTCCTCAAAAGAATTGCAACTAGACAACACACTTGTCTATATAGATTTTGAACATGTTGCTCTTTCTATTTCTATTAATAAAATAATAATAATATTAATATTGTTTTTTTTTTTAAAAAATAATCCTTGCCACAATCAGCCGTTCAAAATCTGGGTATGTGTACAATTCCTTTTTTTTTTTTTGTTTTTTTGGTCTTTTGCTTTCTTCGCAGGTGGCCCATGGCGATCGCGATGCTCGCATCGAAAAAAATCAACGTGCAGCCACTGGTAACTCACCGTTTCCCTTTGGAAAAGGCCATGGAAGCATTTGAGGCAACCAAGAAAGGGATCGGGATCAAAATTATGCTGAAATGTGACCCAAATGATCAGAATCCCTAAAAAAAAAAAAAAAACCAAGTCATTGTATCCCATTCTACTTTCCTGTTAGGGAGAATTAAGTCCACGGAGAAGAAAATACAAACAAAGTGAATCAGAGCCTTAAACTGATGATAATGTCAAGCCCTCGTCAAGGAAACAAATGCTATGCAAATTATTTGGAAACTTGAACCTAAAAGAAAACCTTGAAGTCGGATGAATAAATGACCTCTGTCATGACAAGTGAAATGTGTCATTGGAACCAGCGCAGAACTGTAAAATTAGGTCTCCATGTTTAATGTTCGGCACAGTGCAGCTCTCTGGGTCTGTGAAAGGCATTGGGGGAGGGCAGGGTTTCCTAGGTGAGACGTCAAGGACTGAAGGTTCCAATTTGGCATTCTCAGGGATGTGTGTGCTCCATCAGGAGCCGTTCGGGATTTGAAAGAGCGTGTCCCTCGTGATGGTTCCGATCCACTTCTTGCAGACTTTGAAGCTGCTACACACTTTTTCCATCCGTTCAGAAGTTAGTATGAAGTTCTATCCAGACCAGTTTACATGAAGACATGGGTACCTACAAACTGGGAATTTTGGATTATAATCTTGTAAGATCGTCTAAAGTGTGAATGAATGGCACAGAAAGTAGGGCTATCAATTCTCCATCCCTTCTGAAGGAAACTTCCTTCCTTCCTTCCTTCCTTCCTTCCTTCCTTCCTTCCTTCCTTCCTTCCTTCCTTCCTTCTTTCCTTCCTTCATTCCTTCTCTCCCTTTCCCCCTAATCCTTCCTTTGCTCCCCCTCTAATCAATCCTTCCTTTCTTCCTTCCCTCCCTCTCCCCCTAATTCTCCCTTCGCTCCCCCTCTAATCCTTCCTTCCTTCCTTCCTTCCCTCTACCCCTAATTCTTACTTCGCTCCCCCTCTAATCTTTCCTTTCTTCCTTCTTTCCTTCCCTCTCTCCCTCTCCCCATAATCCTTCCTTTGCTCCCCCTCTAATCCTCCCTCCCCTCTCCCTCCCTCCCTCCCCTTCCTTTTCAGATACAAAGGTAAGGGATGCTAGAAACCTGCTGCAGTTCCATCCTCCTACCTCCGTATCTCCTGGAGACTCTTGAGGTCATGGGTTATTAGTTACCACTAGTTCCTTGAACAATGTCATTACTATACCTTTTCTAGCCCTCACTGCTTTATGGATGTTTATTTGTGCATGTATGTGGAAAGAGAATCCTGGTTGCTCCATTGCTCAGTTCCTCTGCAAATACAACTATTGTACCGGAACATCCTGGTTTTGTAACCCACAGGGATGGCTTTACCCCTCGCTGTTAGAACAAGAACCATTTCCTTGTAAAGCCATACCCCCCCCTTGTGGGATGTAGACATGTGCCACAAAGACACAAAGCCACGCCTCCTTGGGGCATGTAGACAAGTGGTCCAGGTAGAGAACTTTAATTTGGAAGGGCAAGGTTCCTGTTGGACCATTGGCACCAGAGGTGGGATTTACTTACCTTCCCTACCGGTTTGCAAATGTGAGCGTGTGCTTGCTTGCGCTCGCTTTGCTCACATGTGCCACCTCTGCGCATGCGCAGTAGTCACACATTACGTCCGGGCGAGTGGGTGGAACTTCCCACGGTCGCCGCTACTGGTTCGTGCGAACCGGCTGAATCCCACCACTGATCGGCAGCCCTAAAGCCCAGGGTTTTCCCTAGGAGGCGAATATGGTAACCCCAGGGAGAACTTTCACTCACGAGGCCCTGGGGTGTTATGTTTGTTCTTCCTTAGTTCAAAATGACGTTACCTGAGCAAATAAAAGGAGAAAGTAACTTATGTTAAAGTCTGTTGAAATGGCTCAAAGTCTTTCACGGGTCGGTGACTCTGCAAGTTGATTCTGTGGCGTTCGGAAATTCAAGGAAATAAAATGCTTTTTCCCTCCCCCTACCACTTTATTCCTATTCTGGTCTCTTGTCATTTGAGGCGCTGTTTGCCTCTGTGTAAGGGTGGCACGACAAGTTCAGCAGTATTTGATTGGATTTAATTTGATGTATTAGATTTCTGTACCGCCCTTCTCCCGAAGGACTCAGGGCGGTGTACAGCCATATTAAAACACATATAAATATACAAAATTTAAAACAATTTAAAATTGAATATATAAAAATTTGGCCCATAGATTAAAACACACATACACCCATTCTAAAATTCGTATTAGGCCAGGCCGGCTTGTTGGAACAAGAGGGTCTTCAAAGTGCGGGGAAAAGTACGCAGGTCGGGGATGAGACGAATCTCAAGGGGCAGCTCATTCCAGAGAGCTGCTGCCCCCACAGAGAAGGCTCTCCCCCTGGATGTCGCCAGTCGGCATTGTCTGGCCGACGGCCCCCTGAGGAGCCCCTCTCTATGGGAGTGTATTGGCCGGTTGGAGGCTGTTGCTGGCAGCAGGCGGTCTCATATATACCCTGTGTCAGCATTCTGATGCTGCCATAAAAAGATGAGGTTTGACTTTTTACCTACTTATTTTCTCTGTAGATAATATCCCCTAGGGGATGGGAGGGGGGACATTCCTGTGGGTTGAGGTCAGAAGCTTGGGAGACTGACTTGGAAGATGGCCAATGAGAAGATGAGAATTGGGGAACGGAAAGGGAAGGGTTTGGGGGTCAGAAGGCTAGTATTGGCTACAACAAAGTTGGGGCCAGATCTGTCGTACTCAATAAATGGAATATTTCAGCAAAGATTAATTGTTTGGGAGTGCAATTTATTTGAGATGACATCAAAACCTGACACCCTGGTCCTAAGCCATGGAGCGCTTTAAAGGTGATGACCAACACCTTGAATCGCACTCGGAAGACCACCGGGAGCCAGTGCAGCTCGCGCAGGAGGGAAGTTACGTGGGTGCGCCGAGTCGCTCCCATAACCACCCGCATGGCCGCATTTGCAGACGGAATGGGACTTTTCGCCTCGGTCTCTTCGCCTTGCCTGTTTCACCTTAAGGTTTTTGCCTCTGCGTTATTAGCCACAAATTTTTCTCCTTGGCTGACACGCCCCCAGTCTTTCGCCACGGCACATCGGCCACGGCCCCTCCGTCCCAGTCCCTTAGCTGGGGCCCATTCGTCGAAGTACAGTTCACATCGGGCTTTTGGCCTCCCAGGACAATTCGCACCCAGTGCCTCCTTATTGTGCATCTTGCAACAGCCACGCCACATGTTTTCAGAGAGTCCTGTGTTTCACCTGAAGTTATTTGTGGGTTTTTCTTTCCCGAACAATTTTCCTGGCAGTTGTGGCTGAAAGTTTAGTTGGTCTACCTGACTGTGGTTTGGTTTCAACAGAACCCCTCATTTTCCACTTTTTGTTTAGAGTTTGAATACTGCTGATTGGCATTCTCAATTCCTTGGATATCTTTTTATATCCCTTTCCTGTTTTATACAGTTCAACTACCTTTTTCTGCAGATCCTTTGACAATTCTTTTGCTTTCCCCATGATTCAGAATCCAGAAACGTCAGTGCAGCACTGGATGAAGGATGCAAGACCCTTCAGAGTCTTCAGGAGGTCAGAAACTCATTGACCTTTTATGCACACACATTAATTAATTGCATGCAAACAGATCACAGGTGAGGATGATTACCTTTAATAGCCATTCACACCCCTTTGTGTCAACCTGTGTGCATGTTATCAGGCCACAATCACCAATATGATTGTGTATGTAAACTTGTGATCAGGGTCATTTGGGTAGTTTCTGTTGTCCTTATGATTGAAAAAGATTAAACACAATTGATTTGATAATAAAGGGCTTCAGCCAAATGCTAACCATGAGTGAAAGAAAAGTTTTCGTGTTATCGTTCATATTCTCTGAAAAATGGCCAGGAAATCATAAATTCTGCCAGGCTATTTAAACTTATGAGCACAACTATATAAGGTATATTTATATATTTTTGTACCCTGCACATTTATTTAGCAGGGGAGGAAGAAGAGTTTATCGGTGATTTAGGGTTCTAAAACCTCAATTGAGACACAGGATTTCTGCTGGGGGGGGGGGGAAAGAAGGGGTGTATCTGGATCACTTTATCCTTTTTTGGTGGCATCTCTTTACAGGACTAGAGATCTTGAAAAGCGTTCCGTGACACCGTTGCAGCTGGGAAATGAGCCACCTAATCTGCAGGTTGACAATAGCTCCATTCTGGACCTGCATTGATTAATATTTCACTTCTAGTCTATATTTAAGCTGCTTGGTTTAGTCATTTTTAAAGCCTTAATCTGCAGTCAAAATCATCTTCTAGGTTGGGCTTCTGTCTGGTATTGAGTATCTAAGGCAGTGCTTCCCGTTTGATGATGGGTAAACTTTAAGTGGCCAAGATTGGAAAACACTTCTAAGGAAACGCTAGAATCTTGGCACAAAACCCTACATTCCTTAGTGAAAATATGTGGACTTTAATGCCAGCTGCACACATCTTCAAGAAGTCAAGATCGGGAAACCCTGTTCGAAGGAAACGCTAGAATCTTGGCACAAAACCCCATTAATGAAGATAGCAATAGCAATAGCACTTTTATTTATTTTTTATTGATTTTATTTTACTTCGAATTTATATACCGCCCTTCTTCCTGGAAACTCAGGGCGGTGTACAGCCAGATAAAAACACATAATATAAACATTAAGAACAAATTAAAAGGATACCTTTTATACCTCTTCACAGTGTTTTACAGCCCTCTCTAAGCGTTTTACAGAGTCAGCCTATTGCTCCCAACCAGGGGTGAAATCCAGCAGGTTCTGGAGAACCGGTAGCGGAAATTTTGAGTAGTTCAGAGAACTGGCAAATGCCACCTCTGGCTGGCCCCGGAGTGGGGTGGGAATGGAGATTTTGCAATATCCGTCCCCCAGGAGTTATTGCTACGTGTGCCACCTGTGGCACGCGTGCCATAGGTTTGCCATCACGGCGTTAGAATCTTGGCTACATTTGCGAGGTCAACGTTGGAATTCCTCAGTAGTTCAGAGATGTCCTAGTTTTGTTCTTCATCATTCCGGGCAGAATCCTGGCCCTGAAAAGAACGAAGGGAACTGGGTTCAAGGCAACGCTTCTCTGCAGTTGCAGTTGTTGAAAAAAATTTAGGCCAGCAAGATAACTTGGAGGCCCTGGGGGGGTGGGGACGGGGTGGGGGCATCTCATTCGGCTGCTAAGTCTTGAAGGGATCCTCCTCCCCCGCATTTGTCTAGAGTTGCTTCAGCGTTGGACTTTGACAATTTCTTGTAAAGCCACCAATTTCCTTGTTGACTTTCCTTCAAGAATAGAGAGGGCCTTTAAAAATGTAAATGGGAAATTCCACACATGCAGAATTGTGCAATCAGTTTGCAACTTGGCACAGTGTGGTGGGTCTCCCCCAGAGCTTCTAATTTTCAGAGAAAGACTGGCCTGAGGTTAACCAGGAAATTTCCATCGCTAGGGAGAACCTCAACCTAGATTTTCAGGTTATGAATAAACGATTGGACGAATTAATAAATGTTTCCTTTACTACTGTCGCTGTTTGCCTTTGTTGGAAGAAATGCCCATCTGGGTTCAGTTCCAAGTGGGGAAAAAGACACTGGAAACCTGGAGACTGTTTGGAAAGATGATTTAATGGTGGACAGGATCACGTGGCTTGAGATCCCGGGCAAAAAACATATGGTTGAGAGAGAGAGAGAGAGAGATTTATACCCTCTGTTCAGCTTTGAATTTGAGCTTGTATTCTGATTGGTTGTCAGACTCCCATGGGGTCATGCAGGGTAACTTTGTAGGTTGTTTATATTCCAGGCTTGGTTGAGCCTTGCTGGGTGATGATGTAATGAAGGGGCTTTGGGCAATTCCTACTATGGCTCTTTGTTATGTAGAATAGACTGGCCCAGGCCTTAATGACCCATTGACAAAGCGGGGAGGGCTGAGTTTCTGCCTCCCTTTTAGAGGAAATATTCTGCCCTTTTAATATTTCCTAAAATATCTCATTTTCCTAGGAGAGGGGTGGGTGCTAACTTCCTACACCTTAAAGGGATGTGTCCCTTTCCACAAGGGTTGGAACCCACAAACGATGCTTAGATCTTATCTTTCCAAAACACGGTTATTACTCACGGTGCCTTGCCAGGATGCCTTTTCCGTTTTGCAAAAATGGAAAGTGCAGATTTGAGCACCAGTGTTTTTATGCCCTCTGTTTTTCTCCCTTGTTATGCATAACATTTCCACTTCAGAAAAAAACTTGCTAACAAATCTGCAATACATGGTTGTGGTTTATATCACACTACTAGGTGGCAGACACTATTAGGAGAGGTTTTAAAAAAAAAAAACTTTGCACACGTATCTCAGATGGTCGGGTAGCTGTGAGGCTCAGAAAATAAGTAGGCAGTTTATATACAAGCGGCTTAGGAATTTAGCAAATCTGTAGACCGCTGGCTCTATTCAGTTCTCTGTTCAGCCTCAAAAAAACATATCCTCCGGTGGTAATGCTGGTTGGAACCCACCACTGAACATTTTTTTTGAATATTCAGATTTTTCTGCTGGGAGATTGAGGTATGAGGTGTGTAACAGCATACACAGCAATTGATGCAAACACAATTCAACTCTCAATCCAACCTTCTGTGTACATGAAATCCTCAACCATATTGGTTTAGTGACCAAAGTTACAACAGCACTGAAAAAGTGAGTTAGGACAATTAATGTAATCAAAATTCAGTTGTTTGGTAACTGGCATGTAGTTATGACGGTTACAGTGTCCCGGGGTCATGTAATCCCTTTTTGCGACCTTCTGACAAGCAAAGTCAAGGGGGAAACCAGATTCACTTAACAACCAGATTCCTCACTTAACAACTGCGGTGATTCACTTAACAACTGTGGAAAGAAAGGTTGTAAAACGGGGTGAAGCTCTCTTCATAACTGCCTTGCTTAGCAAGGAGCCCACTTTTGATATGTTGAGAGCCTCACAAACACTCT